TTCCGACATTTCAGACATTTTGAAAACTGCAGGGGGGTTTGGGCAAAATATGACCCATCGCCGTTTTCAGTAATTGGCATATTTTCGGTATGAAACGTCGTAATTTGAAACTGAAAATAGGTGCAGAGAGTCAGAATTCGGCTAAAAAATCACGCTCAGGAGTCAAATTTCCGACATTTCAGACATTTTGAAAACTGCAGGGGGGTTTGGGCAAAATATGACCCATCGCCGTTTTCAGTAATTGGCATATTTTCGGTATAAAAAGTCGTAATTTGAAACTGAAAATAGGTGCAGAGAGTCAGAATTCGGCTCAAAACTCACGCTCAGGAGTCAAATTTCCGACATTTCAGACATTTTGAAAACTGCAGGGGGGTTTGGGCAAAATATGACCCATCGCCGTTTTCAGTAATTGGCATATTTTCGGTATGAAACGTCGTAATTTGAAACTGAAAATAGGTGCAGAGAGTCAGAATTCGGCTCAAAAATCACGCTCAGGAGTCAAATTTCCGACATTTATGACATTTTAAAAACTGCAGGGGGGTTTGGGCAAAATATGACCCATCGCCGTTTTCAGTAATTGGCATATTTTCGGTATGAAACGTCGTAATTTGTAACTGAAAATAGGTGCAGAGAGTCAGAATTCGGCTCAAAAATCACTTTCAGGAGTCAAATTTCCGACATTTCAGACATTTTGAAAACTGCAGGGGGGTTTGGGCAAAATATGACCCATCGCCGTTTTCAGTAATTGGCATATTTTCGGTATGAAACGTCGTAATTTGAAACTGAAAATAGGTGCAGAGAGTCAGAATTCGGCTCAAAAATCACGCTCAGGAGTCAAATTTCCGACATTTCAGACATTTTGAAAACTGCAGGGGGGTTTGGGCAAAATATGACCCATCGCCGTTTTCAGTAATTGGCATATTTTCGGTATGAAACGTCGTAATTTGAAACTGAAAATAGGTGCAGAGAGTCAGAATTCGGCTCAAAAATCACGCTCAGGAGTCAAATTTCCGACATTTCAGACATTTTGAAAACTGCAGGGGGTTTGGGCAAAATATGACCCATCGCCGTTTACAGTAATTGGCATATTTTCGGTATGAAACGTCGTAATTTGAAACTGAAAATAGGTGCAGAGAGTCAGAATTCGGCTCAAAAATCACGCTCAGGAGTCAAATTTCCGACATTTCAGACATTTTAAAAACTGCAGGGGGGTTTGGGCAAAATATGACCCATCGCCGTTTTCAGTAATTGGCATATTTTCGGTATGAAACGTCGTAATTTGAAACTGAAAATAGGTGCAGAGAGTCAGAATTCGGCTCAAAAATCACGCTCAGGAGTCAAATTTCCGACATTTCAGACATTTCGAAAACTGCAGGGGAGTTTGGGCAAAATATGACCCATCGCCGTTTCAGTAATTGGCATATTTTCGGTATAAAAAGTAGTAATTTGAAACTGAAAATAGGTGCAGAGAGTCAGAATTCGGCTAAAAAATCACACTCAGGAGTCAAATTTCCGACATTTCAGACATTTTGAAAACTGCAGGGGGGTTTGGGCAAAATATGACCCATCGCCGTTTTCAGTAATTGGCATATTTTCGGTATAAAAAGTCGTAATTTGAAACTGAAAATAGGTGCAGAGAGTCAGAATTCGGATAAAAAATCACGCTCAGGAGTCAAATTTCCGACATTTCAGACATTTTGAAAACTGCAGGGGGGTTTGGGCAAAATATGACCCATCGCCGTTTTCAGTAATTGGCTTATTTTCGGTATGAAAAGTCGTAATTTGAAACTGAAAATAGGTGCAGAGAGTCAGAATTCGGATAAAAAATCACGCTCAGGAGTCAAATTTCCGACATTTCAGACATTTTGAAAACTGCAGGGGGGTTTGGGCAAAATATGACCCATCGCCGTTTTCAGTAATTGGCATATTTTCGGTATGAAACGTCGTAATTTGAAACTGAAAATAGGTGCAGAGAGTCAGAATTCGGCTCAAAAATCACGCTCAGGAGTCAAATTTCCGACATTTCAGACATTTTGAAAACTGCAGGGAGGTTTGGGCAAAATATGACCCATCGCCGTTTTCAGTAATTGGCATATTTTCGGTATGAAAAGTCGTAATTTGAAACTGAAAATAGGTGCAGAGAGTCAGAATTCGGCTCAAAAATCACGCTCAGGAGTCAAATTTCCGACATTTCAAACATTTTGAAAAATGTCAAAATGTCTGAAATGTCGGAAATTTGACTCCTGAGCGTGATTTTAAAGCCGAATTCTGACTCTCTGCACCTATTTTCAGTTTCAAATTACGACGTTTCATACCGAAAATATGCCAATTACTGTAAACGGCGATGGGTCATATTTTGCCCAAACCCCACTGCAGTTTTCAAAATGTCTGAAATGTCGGAAATTTGACTCCTGAGCGTGATTTTTGAGCCGAATTCTGTCTCTCTGCACCTATTTTCAGTTTCAAATTACGGCTTTTTATATCGAAAATATGCCAATTACTGAAAACGGCGATAGGTCATATTTTGCCCAAACCCCCCTGCAGTTTTCAAAATGTCTGAAATGTCGGAAATTTGACTCCTGAGCGTGAGTTTTGAGCCGAATTCTGACTCTCTGCACCTATTTTCAGTTTAAAATTACGACGTTTCATACCGAAAATATGCCAATTACTGTAAACGGCGATGGGTCATATTTTGCCCAAACCCCCCTGCAGTTTTCAAAATGTATGAAATGTCGGAAATTTGACTCATGAGCGTGATTTTTTATCCGAATTCTGACTCTCTGCACCTATTTTCAGTTTCAAATTACGACGTTTCATACCGAAAATACGCCAATTGCTGTAAACGGCGATGGGTCATATTTTGCCCAAACCCCACTGCAGTTTTCAAAATGTCTGAAATGTCGGAAATTTGACTCCTGAGCGTGATTTTTGAGCCGAGTTCTGACTCTCTGCACCTATTTTCAGTTTCAAATTACGACGTTTCATATCGAAAATATGCCAATTACTGTAAACGGCGATGGGTCATATTTTGCCCAAACCCCACTGCAGTTTTTAAAATGTCTGAAATGTCGGAAATTTGACTCCTGAGCGTGATTTTTGAGCCGAATTCTGACTCTCTGCACCTATTTTCAGTTTCAAATTACGACTTTTTATACCGAAAATATGCCAATTACTGTAAACGGCGATGGGTCATTTTGCCCAAACCCCCCTGCAGTTTTCAAAATGTCTGAAATGTCGGAAATTCGACTCCTGAGCGTGATTTTTTATCCGAATTCTGACTCTCTGCACCTATTTTCAGTTTCAAATTACGACTTTTTATACCGAAAATATGCCAATTACTGAAAACGGCGATGGGTCATATTTTGCCCAAACCCCCCTGCAGTTTTCAAAATGTCTGAAATGTCGGAAATTTGACTCCTGAGCGTGATTTTTGAGCCGAATTCTGACTCTCTGCACCTATTTTCAGTTTCAAATTACGACTTTTCATACCGAAAATATGCCTTATATATATCTTATTGGTAGACTACTTTGCCACCATTTAAGCTGTACCTATAAAATAAATATGCCTCTATCCGAAGTAGGTACACTTGGGGGCTAGCCTCACCCAATTTCCAAGATAACACATTTATACGAGACCAAGTGTCTAGTCAGGGTCGGCCCAAGTGCCACCCCTTTAGGACGTATTTGAATTTAGAGCGATCCCCCAACCCCTGTAATTTTTATGAAGTCTAAAATCGGATATTTTCTGTAGTTTTAGCAGTGTTTCTATGTTTCGTAATACTGAATTTTCTGGAAGATGTTGGGCGAGTGGGGAAGAGCAGTGGAAGGTATGGGAGACATGAGGGGGTGAAAGATAGAGAGGGGGGGAACAGGGAGATAGGGGGAAAAGATATGAGAGGGGCGAAGACACCCGGGTACAGCCGGGTACCCTATTTTGTATAGCTATATTAGACCTAGCTGGAATATACACTAAAACAAAAAAAAATACACACGGTTCTTTAGTAATAAACACAAACAAGATACAGTAGTTATTTTCCAGAGCATGCAGCATATTGCATACATACTAGCTATTTTAATATAGGCTATATAGCCTGTAAACACTTTATACAACCACCACCACCAGCTATCCTAACTTGAGTAGGCACACCATTAAGTGTATCTTTGATTTTAGAAGGATAAACCGACGGCTTTTGACTAACTGTAGCTTTTGACTAACATTTGTAAGTACTTGGCGTATCTTACGTTTCAGCTATGGTTTCAAGAGTGCCGGACGGACTGTCGCACACCAACATCTTAAGTTGTGATACTCTCTTTGTGCTCTTGTTTAAATTTCCTTCACCTTTTAACTGGATTTGGAGGCAAATCAAGATTTTGCAATGAAAGTGGATCGTGCGGCCTTATATGTCAGAGTTATATTGGCAAATATATCAGAACACGCTGCGAGTGAAGACGATCTTGTGATATGTTGCCTCCTATTTGTATACCTCCTCCTCGAGTCCACCCGCTCTTGCATATAGTACTCTTTTTATGCCCCACCCTTACGTACACCCAGCACAAGTGGACAGTTGGCGTGGCTCTTCATGCATGCTTCTATTACGACATTAGGCGCGATCTAACAACGTAATCATTTGTTATGCATTTTATTTGCATTTCAGTTTTATTGCAAGGATGATGAAACCATATTATATGTATATATCGTCGTTTCATTATAATTAACACTAAGCCAGGGAGTTCTCAGAGGTTCCATGAAAAACACACACAGATGGGGGAACAACAACTGTGTAAAACTACAAGAAAAAGAAAACCCATATTGCTATAGAAAAGTCATGAATGTGGTGGCTATAAAGTTATTACAGATTTTGTATTATCGTACTGCGGCAACCCAAGTTCTGAGACGCCCGTCAGTAGTAACCCTGAGACGACTCTTGCCATACACAGGACATTAAATATATATTCCGCTCTCGCTCTACTGTATGTCTAGAAAGAAGCAAATTAAAGAGTTAGAGATACTTAAGAGTACAGTGCAATAGATGTGATAAGTAACTTTACTACTACACAAGATACAAAGCTTTTTCCACATAACATGGTATCGTTATTCTAAGGAGGCGGCACCCACCACATTAATTTTCGACTGGAGGTTTAGAGGAGTGAGTTCACCCGAGGTAGAGTCAGTTGAGACGTGCAGGGTACATAGGGGCGGGCGGAGACAAGTGCGTGTGTGAGAACACTGTAATGTGGCACAGTGTATCTGAGTCACGCAGCGCTGAGTGACGTGACATGCTGTCTAGTTGTGATAAGCCCAGCCAAATATATGAACAGTAGCGAAATTCCAGGTAAGTTTGCAAGAAAGTTTTGAAATTATAGTTACAGGAGGAAATAAGAACTATCACCAGATGAATTATTTCGTTACTCTTTCATGTTTCTACCATTATGTCGGTACACTCTTTGAGTTTGCCAGAGTACATGTTACTGAAAATTCAACAAAACTGTTCTCATCACACCCTACGGTCCTATCTTTTCCATGATTCCGAGGACCAACGCCCCCGCGGCTCGGTCTCTGACCAGACCTCCTGCTGGTCGGTGGTTTGGTCAACCAGACCACCAGGTAACCAGGCTGCTCGCAGCTCGACATATGAATCACATGTATGCAGTCTGTAGCCTCTCTTGTTGCTAATATTTAAAAAATATAGCTACCCGTATATATTTAATTGAAGATGACATTACTCAAAATATTACACAAATATGCTATGTTTATTTACTATAGGTAATACATACTTTTTTATCCTCTACTTACAACCGAGTAATCTGTGTTCAATTGCCGGGCAGAACAAACGGTTGGGCACATTTCCTGTCACTTGATGCCTCTATTCTGCTACCAGTAAAATAGGTACCCGGGCATTAGACAATTTTCGTGGTTTGCATCTTGAGGGAGGTCTAGGCGTCCTGTCCTCACATCGTGAACTATATATCACTGCTGTAAATTAAAATGGATTCTTCAGAAACACCTTGCAATAAAATCCCTGTATTTACTTACCCGCCAATGTCTAGAATTTAAATGTGTGAAAAACAAAGCTCATTAAGAATTTCTACCCCTGCAGTTGTGCTCTGTTTTAGCTAATGTTTTAGCTAACCAAGTGTTCCTTAATCTATGCTAGAACGCAGCTATAGTATAGTATGCTAACAGTAACTATAAGGCGTGAGAAGTAACAGAAGAAAGAAATTGAATTGAATTGGGTTATTGATGCTTGATCAGGTAGGCTTCTGATCAACCTGAAACTATGTCAACGTTCATGGGAAGTCGGCTACTTGTCAAGTCTTGCAGAATTTGGGTGAAATACGGAGGTAATTAATTTCAGATATATTCTGATTAGCAATAAAATTAGTCATTGTACTGTGTGCTCAATTAGATAGCACTTAAGAGTAGTGATGTGGACCATCGTACATATATATTGACGTAATAGACAATTAGAAATTTGGTACTACTGAATTTGAACAAATCTGAAAAGGTTTTGTATTTACGTTGCTAATACAGTAAAACCTAACCTAACCATCCTAGGCCTAACACGCCATCATGGGCCAAATACATGCTATACTTGCATCAGGAATATTTAACTTTAGCTTTTAAGTTTTATTTCTTTCGGACTCTTATAAAGGGGATAGTACCAAATTGCAATTGTCCATTAAGTGAATATATGTACGATAGTCCACATAGTTACAAATAGTAGTTTCTAAATAGGAGGATTGGTTGCATAAGCTTAGTGTGACGTTTATTACAGTTGGTCCTAGGCTACGGTTCTCGTATTACTGAGTTTTCTCAGCACTTGTACACTGACCTAAATTTCATCTACCTGCTAACTTTATTTTTTCAACTCCAGAAAGTTACTCTCGTGCGGGAGTAAGGGCACGTTTCGCCCCTCCCGGGAACTGAACTCATCTACTCGATTGCGAGCCGACCACGCTAACTACTGTCCTACAGATAGAAGTTTGCTAGGCGGTGTAACTAACCTAAGGGCAGTAAGGTTGGCGAGGGTTGTACAGCACATACACAAGGGCAGTGAGGATGGCGAGGGTTGTACAGCACATACACAAGGGCAGTGAGGATGGCGAGGGTTGTACAGCACATACACAAGGGCAGTGAGGATGGCGAGGGTTGTACAGCACATACACAAGGGCAGTGAGGATGGCGAGGGTTGTACAGCACATACACAAGGGCAGTGAGGATGGCGATGGTTGTACAGCACATACACAAGCACAGTGAGGATGGCGAGGGGTATACAACACATACACAAGCACAGTGAGGATGGCGAGGGGTATACAGCACATACACAAGGACAGTGAGGATGGCGAGGGGTATACAACACATACACAAGCACAGTGAGGATGGCGAGGGGTATACAACACATACACAAGGACAGTGAGGATGGCGAGGGGTATACAACACATACACAAGGACAGTGAGGATGGCGAGGGGTATACAACACATACACAAGGACAGTGAGGATGGCGAGGGGTATACAACACATACACAAGGACAGTGAGGATGGCGAGGGGTATACAGCACATACACAAGAACAGTGAGGATGGCGAGGGGTATACAGAATCTACCAATCACTGAAAGTTCCACAAGTGTGAGCTACAGTAAAAAAAAGACAAACCAAATCCTAGGTACAGTCAAACGAAATTTTGACTTAAAGGAGCAGATGGTAGTTGTACAACAACTGTATAGATCTCTGGTGCGCACCCACTTGGATTATTGCATTTAAGAAAGGAGACCTTGTCTTCAGAAAGTCATATCAGCTTAGCAGAAAATTCAACGCCAGGCTACGAAAATCATGCCCGAACTAAGTCGACTCTCATTTACTTCACTTCGTACTCATTAAGGGTCATAAGGGAAACAACACTGAAAACCAGACATGGCAGGGCTGATCTCGTTAAAACTATTTTTAAAACTGAACAATTTGGAGGATACTGATCCAGACCACTTCTTCAAAAGGTCAGATGTAACACGAACAAGGAGCAACAGTTTCAAGCTCAACAAGCCACAGTGTCTGACAGATAACATGAGATGTTTTTTCACTCACAGTTATAAACCCATGAAACCGCCTACCTACCGAAGCTTTCAATGCTAAAACATTGCTGAATTTCAAGATCCAGATTGACCAAATCATCAGGACAAATGGGGGGGGGGGACCTTCGACAAGCCGCCGGGTTCCTGTCCTCGACGAGGCCACTTAAAGAGATACATGAATTTATCTGAGGGGGGCCAGCAAGTACACAAGAGCAGTGGGGTTGTCGAAGATTATAACAGACCCAAGGACAGTGGGGTGGGTGAAGGTGTAACAGACACAGTGACCATCAACCAACCAACCAACAACAACACAGTGACCATCAACCAACCAACAACAACACAGTGACCATCAACCAACCAACCAACAACAGTGACCATCAACCAACCAACCAACAACACAGTGACCATCAACCAACCAACAACAACACAGTGACCATCAACCAACCAACAACAACACAGTGACCATCAACCAACCAACAACAACACAGTGACCATCAACCAACCAACAACAACACAGTGACCATCAACCAACCAACAACAACACAGTGACCATCAACCAACCAACAACAACAGAGTGACCATCAACCAACCAACCAACAACAGTGACCAACAACAACACAGTGACCATCAACCAACCAACAACAACAGAGTGACCATCAACCAACCAACAACAACACAGTGACCATCAACCAACCAACAACAACACAGTGACCATCAACCAACCAACAACAACACAGTGACCATCAACCAACCAACAACAACAGAGTGACCATCAACCAACCAACAACAACACAGTGACCATCAACCAACCAACAACAACAGAGTGACCATCAACCAACCAACAACAACACAGTGACCATCAACCAACCAACAACAACACAGTGACCATCAACCAACCAACCAACAACAACACAGTGACCATCAACCAACCAACAACAACACAGTGACCATCAACCAACCAACCAACAACAACACAGTGACCATCAACCAACCAACAACAACACAGTGACCATCAACCAACCAACAACAACACAGTGACCATCAACCAACCAACAACAACAACACAGTGACCATCAACCAACCAACAACAGACACAGTGACCATCAACCAACCAACAACAACAGACACAGTGACCATCAACCAACCAACAACAACAGACACAGTGACCATCAACCAACCAACAACAACAGACACAGTGACCATCAACCAACCAACAACAACAGACACAGTGGGGGTAACGAGGTGGTGTAAGAACAACACAAGTCAGTGTTGGCGCGGTCAGTTGTTTGCTTGGAGAACTTGCCTACGTAAGGCCATCGTCAGCAGCCGGATCCCAGCCGCCACCTCTTCACTGGATGCATTACCAATGGAATCTTTGCAGATCCGGCAATGCATAACAGCACAAACGTAATAACAATTATGGCCAGATACAAAATAGGCGCTAATCACCTTTTGTGGTTGAAAGCTCAAAAACCAACTGCATTATTGGTAGTGAAAACAGATCTAACCTTGTCTCTGTCTGCCCTGCTATACGCATATTTTATTTACACTTCTCCATTCTTAATTCATCTGTATATAATTTTTTTTCAAAAGATTCGTTGACCAATGGTTAACAATTTTGGGTTATTACACCTAAGCCATCTGTTAGTACCTACGCTGTTATACGTCTCCAAGTTACCGCCACAGTAGGCCAACTTCGCAATATCATAATTAACAAAGAAACCATTTGGAACACTGACCAGAGATTTTTTTTACATAACGTATGTTTTTTAATTTGCTTTTAATGTATAGTAGCCTCGCTAAATTAACACTGTGATTGGGATGACCACCCACCACACTGGCAACCAAAGCCTCAGAATTTTTTTTTTTAACCTTCAGTACCAGCCGACATCAACGTAACATAAAAAATAAAGATAACTGCAGAAAGCCTACGGCCTCTCCGTGATGATAAAGTCTTCACGTCGTTTGCCTATCGGAGACTTGCTATCTTATTAAACTCGTGTCGTGTAGGTCAAGAAAAGAAAATCAGGGCAAATGGGAGGGGACCTTTGTCAAGCCGCCGGCTTCCTGTCCTCGTCGAGGTCACGAGTATTAGTGGGCCCCCTCAGGTTAATTCAGGCAAGTAACAAGATTTAAGGCAAACCGTTTGCTTGTCATAAAGGTCGTCCACCCACTTGAATCTAACCTTCAAATAAACTTTTAATCCCGAATGGAGACAAAGGTTACAAAGGTAAACTCTACTTTATATTCAACGTAAAGTACACA